CTGCCAAGGACGTCTATGCTCACGTCGGACAGGGTGACTGTGCTAAGCGAAACAAGGCCTGACAACACACTCAGCACGCCTTGTTCCAAGTCTAGTCAAGTGACCGTGAGCAGGTATTCAATATCCCAAGCTACACTTTCCTCATCTACAAAGCGGGGCACTGTTTTTCTGCACCCTTTCAGTGGGTCTGAGAGTTGCTCAGTTCTACCCTCACACACCTTCTGTCTAATCGATCTCCTTCTTTTTCTGTATAATTCTTGCAATGTCCAATGTTTGTAAGTCTGCTGCTGTTCACAGTAGGAATGAAATACAAATTGAGTTGAACAGATTATTTCATGAAACTTGCCTTGAAATTAAGAATTGGCCTTTTCTGTATCTTTTCAGATAGTAAATACAAAAGGAATCTGAGAGAAATTCGTTATGCCAGACACATTGGCTAGTGCTTGCAGACTAGAACACTAACTAGGTGCAAGCTAAATGACTTCAGCAGATAGGTACAGCTAGGTCATAGGGAGTTAGATTGCCCAGAGCATCATCGTAATACAAAGCAAAGCTCTTTTTTTCAGTAAGAAGCATCTCTCTATTTCATGGTATCTTTAGTAACATCATAAATTTTAATTACTATTTCAGGAAAAATGGCTTAAACTAACAAACTCATTCAAAGATGAATTCCAACTGATGATCAGATCTCATGATTTGAAAAACAGAAAACTCTAATGATAGTTAAGACAAATTAAGTTAAAATTCTGCAACTTTCAAGGAAATGTTATATGCTCTGTTGCCATAACAATGTCTATGGCTGGCCACACTTATGAGTGATGGCACTGCCAAGTATAACCAATCTGTGTGGGGGGGGTAGAGAGACAGAGACAGAGAGAAAGAGAGAGAGAAAGGGTCATAGACATTCTAGGGAGCTGAAACCTCACTAAAAAAAGTCAGAAGTCAACGAGATGGCAACTGTCCTTTATGATGAAGTACGCTGATCTGGGAGCGGGCAGGAGGCAGTTCATACACGTGAGGCGTTACATCCGTTCATGTCGTTTGATAGCTTGTCCCTTCTCTTCCCATCTCATAATCACACACCCAAGTGTGAACCCAGGAAATGAAGCAGTAGGAGAGTGAGAAGAGCTAAGTGGATTATGAGCTACTGCATAACAGGAATGAATTCTTCTCATGCTCTCTCAACACTTCCCCCTTACGTGACCGTTTAAAGTGGGGCAGAGAATCTGTAGGTAAAGAGCAGAGGTCTTGCTATGGATCTGGCATTGTGATGTATAAAAATAGATCACGGTATAAAAATAGAGCATGGTATAAGAAATGGGAGTGGTAATAATTTCACTGAACTAGTTCATTTAAAGTTTCCCTTCACCTTTTTGTGAACTGCATTTCTGCCTAACTGCACCTTTGCTGTGTACAGCTATGAAGCATATCTGTGATGTTATGCCCCATTCTGACCAAGATCTTCAGGAGCAGTGTCCCTTCAACAGTCTATGCAAACCTCAAGCCTGAGCTAGTAGTCCACAAGATATACAAGAATGCTGTAACCACCCCACAGGCTATGATCAGAATTCTAGAATACAGGGAATTCTGTGGTCTCTTTATTCAAAGAAGCTTGAAAATCAGCCTCGTGGGGACCACCTAGGCATGGGTGAACATGTGGACTTGCAGACACCACTGCTGCATGTAGAGCTTTCACCAGATTCCAGGTGATTCACAGGCATATTTGGGAATCAATGTTTGGGGCTGGAGAGATGACTCAGAGGTTAAGAGCACTGACTGCTCTTGAAGAGGACCTGGGTTCAGTTCCCATTACTCACACAGAGGCTAACAATCATCCATAACTCTATTTCCAGGGATCTGACACCCTCTCGTGGCCTCCACGGGCATTGCACAAACATGGTGCACTTACATATGTGTAGGCAAACACTAATACACATAATTTTTTTTTTAAATAATCAATGAGCAGGGTATGGTGGTGCATACCTTTCACCCCAGTGCTTGGGAGGCAGAGGCAGGTGGATCTCTGTGAGATGGAGGCTGGCCTAGTTAACATAATAAATTCCAGGCCAGCTGGGGCTACAGGGAGACCCTGTCAATAAAAAGAATCAATGTTCTAGATCTGGGAATGAAGTTGGCAGAGTGTCTGCCTAGCATTCATAGAGCCTTGGGCTCAGTCTCTAGCACTGCATAAAACCAGGTGCAGCAGCACTCAGGTATAATCTCAGAACCTGGGAGGTAGAGGCAGAACCTGGGAGAACTGGTGGTTAGCCTGGGCTACGTGAGACCCTTATTAAAAAAGGAATTAATTTTCTATAAATAAATTAAAAGAAAAGGAATGGAGAGCTCATAAATGGAGAGACTAGAACTACTTCCCCACATGCTGTTGAAATAACTACTGTTCTTACTAGCTCAGAGTTGTCAGTTTCAACTGTAAGAATGGGCACAAAAGTGACCTATCAGCCACAAAGCTCCAGTTTTTTCTTTTTAAAAAGAGAGATAATTTTGAAGCTGAGCCATACAATGGCAGCTTACTTTTACCTGAAAACTACTGAAATCATTTAGCAGGACATTGGAGCAGAACCCTAGGACCAGACCTAAAACACCACCAACAGTCTGGCAGAACCAGAGGAATGAAAACAGTCTTGATGACCTAGATTAGAAGCAAGGGATGACCAGCAGTTCTGAACTATCCACAAGGTTCACCTGGTCCAGCCTCCAGGACAAGACCATCCACCAACACTCCTAGCGACATCCATAAGCCCTCTATCTCCCCTTGGCCCAGCTGCTTAAATCCTTTTGCCAGATGAACGGTCAGGAGACAAAGCTGGTTTATTTCCTGTCTCCTTGTCAGCTGGTCTATGAATCCTGTTCCCACTATTTTTTCTAAATACTTGCACCTAACATTGGCCTCTATGCCCATGGGGCAGTAAGCCTTTTCTGAGTATCAATGCAGTTTTACAAGGGTGAGATTTACAATCAGACAAGATCCTGAAATCTGTATCCCAGCACCCACCGCTGTAGGACTGAGGCAAATAAAGCATTGCCTAGTCCTGATCCTCTTCTGCAAAGTAAAATAACAGTCACGGAGCTAGATGGGGTGGCTGTCAAAGTATCTGCTCTCTCATTCTCAGCGGCCCTCTCTGTTCATCCGCTGGACTCAATGACCTGCCCACATGGCAGTGCCAGCTAAATGGCACCTCTAGCCCAGGGACCATGAGGGAAGAGCACCTCTCACACAGAAGGAACTTCAAGACTTACGGAATGTGGGGCTGGAGAAATGGCTCAGTGGTTAAGAGCTGCTCTAGCAGAGGACCCAAGTTTGGTTCCCAGCACCCACATGGCAGCTAACAACCATCAGTAACTCCAGTTTCAGGGGATCTGATGACCTCTTCTGGCTCCTTGGGCATTGCACACATGTGGTGCACTTACATACAAGCATGCAAAACATTCATATACATAAAATAAAAATAAACTTTTTTAAAAAGTTATTTAAAAAAAAATCTTTTAGAATGGAATGCCCATGCTATCGATGTCTTCTCTCTGCCACAACAGTAACAGCACAAATGACAGATATTCCTCTGAGTCCTGGAATTGGGAGGACCTGGCACAAGGTCACACCCAACCTTACATGAGCCTTGTTTAATACCCTAATAAAAAACACCCACCGTGGAATAAAATATAAGCATTTTTAGTTTCCCATCTGTGTTGCCACTAGGGTCCCCATTAACTCTGTAACACAAGCTTGTATCTAGACTTTGCTTTGGAAGCTTATATCTCCAGGAGTTAAAAATACACTATTATAGCACATTGGTTGTTTTGAGTTAAAGGCACTTAAAAAAATCCAGCAGGTAGAAGATCACTTTGACTTTCTTTTTCTTACAAGCAGAATATGAAAGTCTCAGGAAAGGTTTTCTTTTTAGAAGGAAAACAGCACTCTTAATTAATGACAGGATGTTGGGACAGAATCCTGTGCAAATTTTATTTAAAGAACTACTATCTTTAATTCTTCCAACCTAATTTAGTTGCTTTACCACAACTCCTATCTTTGTTTGAATCAGTACGTATAAGCATCTCACTCTACCTGCTTCTCTGGGTCTTCATCCCCAAAGAGGCCCTGCCGTGTGAAACTTCTATTAAATGTGTATGATTTCCACTTGCTAATCTGTCTTCTGTCAAGTTAATTCCCAGAAGGGAAGAAGGGAAGTTTGCTCCTGCTGCATGCCAATTACATAGCTCTGTAGAATCTAACCTCTGACTATACAATATTTAAAACTGTTAAAGCATACAAAGTTAAAGTCCATTTATATAAACAATTAGGAGTGTTTAATGAGTGTTTTTCTGTTTCTTTACTCTAGAATACATCTGAAAATCTGAAGTCTTTAGTATAAACTAAATGGGAGAATTTGCCTGCCTTTCTCAAGATTGGGCAGTAGTTATCATACTTGCAGAATAACTTTTAAATTATTTTTAAGTACTGAATTCCTCTTTTTAGAAAGTGTGTGTGTGTGTGTGTGTGTGTGTGTGCACGCGCACACACGCGCAGGTGCCTGAGGAAGCCAGAGGCATCAGATCCCCTTGAACTCGAGTTACAAGCAGTTGTAAGCCACCTGATGTGGGTGCTGGGAACCAAACTTGAGTCACTCATAGACTCTTCACACATTGCTATATCTAGCTTTCACTCTAACGCAAACCATGAAAACCACAAAGCCAGATAGCCACCTAACCACACACACCCTTTCACAGCACTCCAGGAAGCCAGCATTGCATCCAATATATGGCGAAACAAGTGAGAAGCTCCTGAGACAGAAGTAAGAGTTCTACAGATTTTGGCCAACATGAAGTTTGGCAAAGGCCGGGGAAATGTAGTTCTTTTAGGGTTACTACCTCTGGGCTGCCCAACAGTTACTCGCAAAATTATTTATTTGATCAAAATTGCCATTTATCTGTTGTACTGACATCTGTGCATGCTGTGGAGAGGTATCAGTGATGAAGTAACTCACGGAGAGAGGACACGCTGGAGGAGCCCCGCAGAAACTGGTGTAAGCCATCCTCGCCGTCACTGGAGCTGGCGATACTGTTCCGCATCTCCAGCATGGAGATTTGTGTGCAAAGGCTGAGTTGGTGCTCCAACTTTTTAGTGTTCTACAAAGCAAAGTTTCAAGATGTCTGAGATTTATGGCACTTGAATCATATATTCCCAGTAAGGAGCATATACATTTTCTTGAAATAAGTTATTGCCCAAAAAGTACCTGCTGTAATATTAAGTGCTCTATAAATGTAGGCTATGGTTTGTATTATCAGCTATTACTTTTATAAACGCACTATTCTAAAAACTTACATAGCCAACAACCTACTCATTAATCTGAAATAATAAGTAACAAGTTTGTCTTTCTTTTTTTGTGGTGTTAGGGATCAAACCCAAGGTCTCACTCATGGGAAGCAAGTCCCCCTTGAGCTGCATCCCAAGTCCTAACTTACTGTGATAAGCATCCTAGACAGGATAACCCAAGACCCATATTCAGTCTGTGTTCCTAGTGAACAGCACACATCACAGGAAAAGTGTTTTTCAAGTTCTTATCTATGATCATATTAGCTTCCTTCTAAACAGATGTGGAAAATTAAGCTGCATGTAGTTATGAAAGTCCATCTTCTCCTCACCCATGGTTTCCTGGGAGGACACAAGTCACCAAGGCTAAGATGCCAAGTCTCCTGCTCTTGGGGATTATTCAGCCCTACCGCCTACAGCTCCTCCTCCCTGGGCCTGCGCTACACTCCCTCCCACTCCCTTACCATCAGCCTTAGCTTCCTTAAAGACGTTTGAAAAGGACAGCACTCCATCCCATAAATGCTTGTCCCTGACAGTTACACTAAGCAATGGAAGTTATAATTATTGGAAAATACTTCCTTGCTCTAAAAAAATGACTTGCTAAAAAGTGTCTCTATTACAAGTACCCTCTCTGCAGTTCAGGACTGCTTCAGGAAATTTCAGGAAAACATGCATTGGGTAAGCTGAAGCACACCTCACTATACATATTTCTTTAAAAAAATTCAGAAAAGCACTTACTTTATCATTTAAGGTGGGATCATTCAGTGAATAGAGCTTATTTGTAATGTCTTTTCCTATAAGGTACCTAAATATCTCATACAGGAAAGGCTCTGACTCCAGAAAGTAGGTTAATCGTTCTCTTGACCAGCATAAAAATCTGCAGTTGTCGTCTGCAACAATGGTAACCTGTTGAAACAAACACACAGACCAGAAGTACGTCTATGTACATGAGTCATGAGTGTAGTAAACCAGCAGCAGCAAAGAGCAGAATAAGCTAGCAAACACTCTCACAGAAATGATTTACCAAATTAGTTAAAATCAAATGCACTGGGGCCGGAGAGATGGCTCGGCAGTTAAGAACACTGGTTGTTCTTGCAGAAGACCCGGGTTTGAATCCCAGCACCCACATGGCAGCTAACAACCATCCATAACTCCAGTTCCAGGAAATCTAATGCCCTCTTCTAGCTTCTGTGGGCTTTGCTTGACACAGGTGCACTGGCAAAACACTCATACACATAAAATAAAAATAAATAAATAAACAAAAAGTTAAGTGGGTCAATGTTCCTCGAAAAATAAAGTTTAGATTCATTGTATTAGACAGAGGCTTCATCAAAACCAAACACATTTGGACTTAAGAAAGGAATCAAATAGCCTTTAAAACCCCATAAAACACCAAGCTAATACTCTTTTTTTCAATGTACATTATTACAAATGTTATTCATGCCAAATACCATTTAAGGTACTGAAGTTACAATGGTGGATAAGAAAATTCAAGGCTTCAGAGGTGGCTCAGTGGTTAAGGGTGCTTGCTGCTCTTCCAGAGGACCTGAGTTCGGTTTCTACCACATACATCAGGCAGCTCACAACCACCTGTAACTCCAGCTCCAGTGTATTCAACACGCTCTCTGGCATCTATCAGCATTTGTACATGTGTGCACGTGCACACACACACACACAAATAAATAATAAATAAATATCCAGGAGGAGCCAAGCATAGTGTACTACGCTTGAAATCCCAGCACTTAGGAGGCTAAAGCAGGAGGATCATGTGTTTGGGGCCAGCCTGGGCTACACAGAGAATATTAGACTAGGCTGAACTCCATAGCAAGATGCTAACTGAGGGCCTGGAGACTCAGTTGTTAAGAGCACTAACTGTTCTTGCAGAGGACCTGGGTGCAGTTCCAGGTACCTATATGGAGGCTAACAACTGTCCATAACTCCAGTTCCAGGGAATCCAAAGCCATCTTTGGCTTCAGCAGACACTGCACGCATGAGTGCACTTACATTCAGACAAAACACTCATACACATAAAAACTAAAAATAAACAATTTTTTTTAAAAGATGCTGACTGAAAAAATGGAGGTGGGGGTGGGAGAGATGGCTTGGTGGCTAAGAGTACTTGCTGTGCAAGCCCGAAGACCTGAGTTTGAATCTCAGGACCCACATAACAAGCTGGGCATGGCCCTGGGTGCTTGTAATCTCAGCATTACGAAAGGAACAGACAGGAGGATCACTGGAGCTTGATGGCCCCCAGCCCAGCTCCAGGTTCAGTAAGAGAGCCTATCCTAAAGGAACAAAGCAGGGAGTGATAAAGCAGAACTATGGCGTGGCCTCTGCACACACCTACGGTATGCACACCCACACACACACAAAATAAATTTTAAAAATTAAAGACTTTTTAAAAAGAAGAAAAAAGAGGTAAGATCATTGCCCCGTGAAGCTTTAGTTAAGAAGTATATCACATGGTTCCACAGTGTAGCGGTTATCATGTCTACTTTACACACAGAAGGTCCTGGATTCGAGTCCCAGTGGAACCACGCGGTGGGCTGTGCTTGAGCCAGGTGTGGTGGCGCATGCCTATAATCACAGCACTCAGGAGGCAGAGGCAGGAGGATCTCTGTGAGTTTGAAACCTCCCTGGTCTACATTACATAGTGAGTTCCATGTCAGCTGGAGCTACATAGTGAGAAAGACCAAAAAATCAATCAATCAATCAATCAATCAATCAATCAATCAATCAGTGTCAGGTGGCACTAAGCAAGGGATGACAGTTCAAAATGTCACTTTATATATACACATATTTTCTTTTAAGCATTTAAGGTAATTTTCCTATCATGTAAATAGATCTTCAAAATTGTCTTTACAATAATACAGATACTGGTTTTCAGCTGTTAGATGTCAAGTGAGGAGCAGCAAACCTTATGAGCACACTAGCCAGTGGTGGAGACAGCACTCTGGACTCCAGCCCAGTCATGTTCCCACCAGGCTTTATCCTACTTGATGCATCCAAATATTCATCAAGACAGTTACATAAAAAGTAATCTAGCCAAAAGCCATAAGGCTGGCTGTATGGTCCACTGAGTGCCTCATACAAAGAACAGCACGATCATGTCCATCCAGCAAGGGAAGCTGATGATCAATGAAGAAAAATGACTCCAAAATAGCAAGAGAAATTCTTATTGAAAGAGAAAAGGAAGGTGCAGCTAGCCCTGGGAACTCCCCCAGACAGTAGGAGGTGGGTAAGCAAATGAAGGCCCCTAAAACACAGCTCAGCGGAGGGATCACAGAAAGGTCAGCAGCAGGTATGCATCTTAGCAGCAAAGGCTAAGGAGAACCGGGCCCCTTCACCCTATAGAGGCCATCTGCAGCGCTATAAAATACACTTCACATTCTGTGGGGTACAGAGTTAAAGGCGGTGGAAATCGTCCAGAAGAGGAAATGTTATTACTTAGGGTGATCCAGAAGGCATTTAATTCCTTTGCAACCTTTGAATTACCTCTAGATATGTCTGGTACGTCCATTTTTATAGTTGAAAATTATTTTGTTACTTTAATTAACTAATTAATTAATTATTCTGAGATGGAGTCTCATTTGGCCCAAGCTAGCCTTAAACTTACCATGTACAACAAGGATAATTTGGACTCATGATCCTCTTGCCTCTACTTCCCAAGTGCTGGGATTAATCACAGGCATGCACCATGACATCTAGGCTGCCTAAAGTACTATTTATCTACTTAAATGATCATTGGCTATAATTCTAATAACAGCATACAAATAATAAACTACACCTATAGTATGTGTAACTTCCAGGTTCACAAGAGTAGGTATTTAGTTGGCAGCCAATAGTTACTATGTTGGCTAAGTCCATTTTACTTGATAACTAATACTTCATTTATTTAATTCTTCAATTTTATTTAATGATTTTATGTCACAGTGGTCAAGTACAGAGTACTTTTAATGAGGATTTTTAGGGTGGATTCCTGATCTAGTATAATTACTTTCTTACAAAGGGGGAAATTTGATGATAATTCTTAGATCTCTGTACAATTAATTTACTTCTTAAAATTTATATTTCAGCAGCGCCATGCTTTATCTCTTGTGAAGAATTTTACTAAAGAAATAAAATCAAATATCGCAATGTAAGACATAAAAGGATGTATTTCAAGTACAGTATTAGACAAAACACTTGCAACTGGGTCTGCCATGATTATTTCAAGTCCTTCCTTGTAAAGCAGTCCTATGTGCCCTTCCATAACAAGTCAGTGGATTCTATCCTGCGGAAGTGAGCACATCTGAGGGAGTTGGTCAATGAGCTAGACTCAGTAACAGCAGTCTGACATTAGGATTGGTTAACTGTCTCGAGGGAAGAACCTATTACTTTCTTTGTGAATTATATAGCATCACATACCAGGAGCATGGGAATACTCCGATGTCTACTGACCCAGTGCTTATTGAGTTCTCGTGAGCACTAAGATATTGCTGAGTTAAGGCTGGCAGACTAAACTGCTTAGCAGCTTCACTGGCCTGTTTAATATTCAGGTGCCATTTTCTTTAAATACCAGTTAAAACTTAATGTTCATTTATTTCACAAGAGCATGAACACACATTTCTAGACATTTCTCTCCCTTAAAGTCAACAAAACTGATTTTCAGGCTTTGCAGCACCAGCACATGCTACTGGCTATGGGAGAGAAGTAGCACACGACAGAATCCAAAGAAAATACACTTTCAGTCATGCTCGCTTGATGCATAACGACCGCACAAAGAAGAACCCCAAACCCACACTACTGCTACCTTTGGCAATAATGATACCCAGATTCTACAGACAGTTGGAAGTGGCAGCCTGGGTCCGCAAGTTCCCAAAAACAAGCATGAGGGAGAATGAGTTTCAATCTGTTTCCTCAGCAGCACTGTTCTGCCAGTTACTCTTAGAATTACTACACTATTTTTTAAAAATATTTTTTATTATTTTTATTTTACGTGTATGCGTGTATTGCCTGCGTGTAGGTAAGTGCACCCGTGTTGTGCAATGCCCACGGAGGACAGAAGAGGTTGTTGGATCCCCTGGAACTGGAGTTAAGGACAGTTATTAGCTGCCATGTGGGTGCTGGGATTCAAACCCAAGTCTTCTGCTGTTCAGTGTTCTTAACCACTGAGCCATCTCTCCAGCCCCTTACTACACTATTTTAAAGCAAAAATATATGCTGCTTTGCCATCTCAGGCTCTGAATGCTGAGTCTACTTGCCTTCTCTTTCCTCTCTTTCCCCTCTTGAACAATTCATCAGCATCCTGACCACAGAATGAAGTTAAAGAAATAGAGCCTAGAGTGATGGTGCATACCTATAATCTCGGCACTTGGAAGGATGAGGCAGGAGGATTGTCAGCAGTTTAGGCCGGCCTGGGCTATACAGTTAGCTCAAGGCCTGACCCTTCTCAATACACAAACCCAAAAGAAATAAAGGGTTGGGTGTGTAGCTGAGTGGTAATTAATTGCATTCTTGAAGCTCTGGATTTGATGCCCAGCACTGCACAAACCGAGTGTGGCACATGCCTATAATCCTAGTACTCAGGAAGTAGAGGCAGGAAGATCAGAAGTTCATGGTCATCCTTGGCTATATAGAATGTTCAAAGTCAGTCTGGGATACATGAGACCTATTTCAAATAGATAGATAGATAGATAGATAGATAGATAGATAGATA